GGGGGGGGGGGGCATGGCAGAAAATAATTGAGAACCACTCCCTTGCGTACTAAAAAGTCCCTACTTTGTAATATTTTGCTGTATATGCATATATGTTTGTATATATATAAATATATATTAATATATATACATATATACAGCTATATATAACAAATATATAAATATATACATATACACAAATATATGTATATATATATATATAAATATATATACATATATACAAATATATGTATATATATTTATATATATTTATATATTTTACATATATACACACATATGAATACACACCTGTAGACACGTACATATTTGTATATATGTATCTATTATGTATCTATATATGTATCTATATATTTCTCTATTAGCATGAGTGTCTATTAGAATGAATGAAGCCCCATTCTGTTTTTTAATCAGTTCTTGGAAAGTCAGATTATTACACAATCACAATGTCTCTCTCTCTCTCTCACTCTCTCTCAAAGTTACGGGGTCCCCCAGTCCCTAGCGTAAACGCATCCCGGAGCACCACCCTTACACAGACGTAGAAACACACAGAAACATAACAAGAGATCGAAGTATCTTATGTGCGCGTGCGCACGAACACGCACTAACAGATGCACACGCATGATCACAGATGCACCGAGAGACAACAGCAGCCAATAAGAATAAAAGTTGCCACAAACGCAACCGTGAAATTCGTTCAACTGCGTTTCTATATATAAAATATATATAGAAATATATAAATATATATATACATATATATAAAGTAAACTCACTGTTCAGTAAATGTACCTGCGCGTGCTGACAGACTTGAAGAAAACCCCGGTAAGTCTGATCAAAGGCGGCCAAGGAAGACGAAAGGACAGGGGACGAGGGTTCAATTTCCATCACTCGGCGCACTCGGAATTGTAAAGAGAAAAACAGACGACGACACGAGAAGAACTGAAGCTGCCGCAACAGTAGAGAGGAAGAGGAACAATGTTCGAGAAAGAGGGGGTGAGGAGAAAGAGAGAGAGAGAGACAGAGACAGAGACAGAGAGAGAGAGAGAGAGTGAGCGTGTAAGACTCCTTCTCTACCACCAGTTCCGTTCCCGCGCCACCACGTAGACGAGAATCAACCTCAGCACCGCAAAATTCCCCTCCGTCTCCCCCAAACACTGAAAACTGTGGGGACAGTCCATGAGGACGGGGACAGTCCAGTTTCTCAGGGGACAGTCCCTTGCAGGGACCAGGGCCCCAATCATCATCATGATCCACCTCCACAGTGACATCAACGTCAGCATTACTGTCATCGGTTCTCTCTACCCAAATGATGGGTCGTGACCTGAAATGGGTGTCGGGGTTGATTAGATAAAGGTGGGAAGTAAAACAGCAGGGGGCGCTCTTACTGGAACTCACCCCCCGAAACTCCAACTTCCTGGAGTCGGCAATAAATTAGACCAAAACGTGAAAGCTAAAAAGCCCAAGTAAGCTAGGAAACTGCTAGATTTCAGCAGAAATCAGCTGTTAGCTAGCATCTATTGTAGCACAAAATTAACAATATCAATTACTTAAAATATGAATTTTGAAACGCCAAAATGTTAGCTACAACAATACAATCCACAAAATAGAAAAAAAAGCTAGAACTAGCTAGCGGTTAGCCCTATGTAATTTCATTTAAAGTATACCCCAAAAAAATGTTAAAACATTAGCAAATATAACAACAATCAAAATAGCAAGACACTTGTTTTGGTTTCATTTCTGTTTTTTTTTTAAAAATATTTCCACACACCGCAAAATGTAATAAGGCTGAAAATAAAATGTAAAATCCTTAAAATGTCTGTACTAACCTGACCTAAAATAAAAAGTGTCTAAATGTACGTCAAAATGTACGTCACCTTACAGCCTCCATGAAATGGTTTTCTAAGACTGTTTTTTTTTTTTTTTTTTTTTTAAAGCGTTCTGACTAATAAACATACTAAACTTTACTGATGATTTAATCATGTTGACACCTTGATGCTTGGCATTTATCCGGCAGAAGACATTAATCATTTCCTCACAATCATGCTTTTAAAGCTTTTAGAGCTGGAAATGTCAGTGTTTGACATTAAATTAACAGTAAGGGACAAAAAAAAAAAAAAAAAAACTATAAAAATATTTTAAAAAAAATATGGTTAAACTTTCAATCTTATGTTTGTCCACAGCCATAAGCCTTTCAAGGACAACGTCTAAGCCCAGGTTGAACAACATCCATCTTTTACAAGAAGGTCGCGGGGGGGGGGGGGGGAGGGTACGGGGTGCAGACAGATGGAGCGTTCGTGTGAACTAAGATAAATGACATGTAAAAGTCATGCATAAAGGCTCAAATGCTAAAATGCTTTTATCATTTTCCTACGCCATCTATTGGGTAAACGAGGGTATTGCAGGCAAAAGGAAGAAGTACAATGATAATATTAAAAAATTACGTAATTTGGAAAGGTTTCAAAACCTAAACGGGCCGCATCCGGACCCCGGGCCTTAGTTTGCCCCATGCCTGATCCAACCTTTTTTTTTCCACAAAATAAAAAGGTTAAGATCCATAAACATAGCGCAACGTTGTTTCATCTTGGGAGACAGAAGACACTTCATTTGTTTAAAAGTGTATTGATTTTGAGGTCATCGCAGAGACACGCACACACACAGATTATCAGGCCCGAAAGGTTGTCTTTGATGTGGATAAACATCTTTGATGTTTGCTCTTAAGACAGGGTAAATACAAAAAAAAAAAAAAAAATGTCATGATGCAATGACAAACACGAAAACGCAGGCGGGGACGCACCAGTTGATCAACAACCGGTCTGTAGAGTTGTTCTGTACGGTGAGCGTTTTTTAACATCATTTTGTGCTAAAACAAACCCAACAAACCAACAAAAAAAACAAAAAAAAAAAAAAAAAAAACGAAAAGATGAAAGGTAATTTAGACAGCTTGTCTATCAGCGCTTCTCATTTTTCCTCAGCACAGGTAATAAGTACAGGGGAGTTTCCGTCAAGTAACGGCAAGTATCAGAAAAGCGTTAATACTAATACAGATATATATATATATATAAAAAAAACTACTATAGAAATCAATTCATTTTACCACTAAGGCCTCCTTTGTACTACAATGGAGACCCATCAAAGTCAGAAAAACTATCAAAATCAGTATGTGTGTCTATTGTGTGTACGGTGTGTGCTCTTGTGTGTCTGTGTGTGTTCAGTGTCTCCTCCCTGGGAATTCCCCTCGGTTCCAGCGCGCTAACAGCCGCATCTGCGTGCGTGTGTGTGTGTGTGTGTGTGTTGTTTTGAGATGTATACACAATACAGTTATTCCTTCGCTGTGAGCGTGCACGTGGTGCACGTGCACGTGTGTTTCCCAGGGATGTGGAAAGTCGAACCCCTCCTGAATGTCCCCCCCCACCCTAAGCTTTTGTCGTCACGTTCTCGCCCCCAATACGCCCCGCGTTTGCGCGCGCTCTCGCCGCAGCCCAGCGCTGAGGAATGTTCTGCCATTGACAGTTAGCACGTGTGCGTTTGTTGTTCATGTGCGCAACAACACCATTTTTTTTTATAATATTAGGATTTACAGCAGGGGTTTCCGAAACTTCTCAAATGCCAAAGAACCCCCCCAAAAACAGCATTAGCATCTGGCCAGGCGACGCTACAAACTATGTGAGAAAACGTCAACTTTTAGAATTTGATTTTCTTACTTTTATTCACTAGTCAATAATGATTAATTCGTATGTTTTCAGCACTCGTTATATCCACCAAATAATAAACTGTTGTTTTTGCTCCTTACGTTGTTTTTCTTGTCAAAATCCTGTCCATTTTTTTGCGCTAGCTAGCTACACGCTAGCAGAGCAGCTTGATAACGGACGCAAACAGCCAGGTGGACACAGAATATGACGTCATTGTGATGACGTCGCACCAGGTGCATTCAGGTACCGTCGGGAATGTGAGAATCCGTATGTTTACTTTTGGATGGTTTAGGACAAAAAAAAAAAAAAATACAAATTTGATTATTTGCTATTTTTTTTTCTTCCCTCCAATTTTCTGAGCCCGCACTACATTATTGATACATTTTCACGATAAAGATGGAGGAGTGTTTGTGATGGCTTTCTATCACAACAACATACAGTCAGAGTGGTTTAAACAAAATTGCCACAAGGGGGCGCTAGGTGAAATTTGGGATTTTGTGTTTTTTTTTTTAATCTTGCATCACTCGTTCAGAATGTCTGGATTTTTTTAATAAAGCGATTTGATGAAATGAGTGAAAAGGTTGTGCTACGTTGTTTGTTTTTTTTTAAAGAAATTTTTTTGGTGACACATTTAGAACAATGTGACATCTGGGAAACACCCACTTTCAGGAAAACCCTGGTATTTTCGAACACTCCTGGTCAGAAACAGAACAGTTTCATACCACTGTGACATTTTTAACAAATAATTTAGTACCAGACACGCTATCACAGAACCTCCTATATGTGTGCGGTATTTTCACTATTTTTTTTTTTTTTTTGCCCTTTTACAATGCATTCCAGAACATTTCCCTGTAAACAAAACACCTTTTGTTCAATACAAATTTTATGAATTTTCAATCATTTGACGACATAAAAAAAAAACACAGAACATTTAAAAAAATTTTGGAACTCAAGAGGTTTATGAAATTTTAGAACATTTCTTTTTAAAAATGCCACATATTTTTTTTTTTTTTTTTACGGTATTTTTTGCCCAATTTGGCACCTGGGGTGTTTTTTTTTTTGGCAAATTTTTGATCATATTTTTAGAAAGAAAAATCCCATTTTTCAGTTTTTGTTTCTTATAATCGTCTGTAACAAATATATATGTCATTGAAAATTAAAAAAAAAAAAAAAAAATTGTTTTAATTGATCAAACCTCCAAACGTTACATTAAAAACGCGTCAAATATCCGCAACAAAAACATTAAAGCGCCATAGGAAAAATCCGTGCGTGTCCAAAATGTCTTTGTTCATTTTGTCTGATTTTTTTTTTAACTATTCTTTTGCTGCCATTTTTTTTTTTTTTTACCCTCGTGTGCACTCACTCACTCACACGGAAAACCAGTTGAAACGTCCCACCTGCGGCACAGAAATGTCTGGAATGTGATTATCATGTATTTGTGTTTATTTTTTTTTTTTTTCGAGCGCAGGTCGCTCGCTGAGAGAAAGAGGAAACCGGATCACGTGCACCGTCCATGCACCGACGCACTGCGTGTATGTGTGGCGTGTGTCCCTCTGTGAGTGTGTGTGTGTGTGTGTGTGTGGGTGGAGAGTAAAGAGCTGTTTGGCAGCAGTGCACGGGGATGTGTGGGTGGTTGTGTGGGTGTCAGGGTGGGGGGGTGCAAAAAAAAAAAAAAAAAAAACCTTCGCCTTCTTTTTCACTGAGAGCACATGTGACTTCGAGTCTGGATTTCTCTCTCTCTCTCTCTCTCTCTCTCTCTGTGTGTTTGTGTCTACCTGAAGGTGAGTTGATTGTGTTTTTGAAGTCAAAAGACACAACGAACACACACACAAACACACACTTGTGTTTTTCTGGAGACACTTGAAATGAAATACACCCGGAAGATTGATGGTTACATAGCCATTGTTGGTATGCGCATGCATGGACACACACACACACCAGATTAGTCTATAGGACACACATTGTGACCACTGTGTCCAACATGAAGCGCGAAAAGTGTCCAAATGTCCTGCTCCTACAGGACACCCACCTTGTCAAACCCCGGGTTGAAATACCTATCTGTGAAACAAAAAAAAACAAAAAAAAAAACGTCCCTGGATTCTAGAGTTTTCCGCAAAAAAAAAAAAAAAAAAATCCTGATGATAAAGACAATAACATTTTCACAGCTGACGTGACCTCAGTCCATCATTTTTTCATCCCCCCCCCCCCCCCCCCCCCCCCCCTCTCGTTTCAATGACAACAAAAAGGACGCGGACGCATAAACACAACAACAGTCACATCACAGCTCAGGGATTTGTGCAGAAAAAAAGGCAGAACAGAATCGGACGTTCTTCCTCGCTGTCCGTGCGCTGGAGAGACACAGGCACATACAGAGAGAGAGAGAAAGAGAGAGGACGTACCTGAGCACATGGCCTCATGGACAAACTTCCTTCCCTTCCACGGTCAACATGCTTTGGCTTTTCCTCTTCCTCCTCTTCTTCCTCCTCTGTTTTCTTCTGCCGCCGTTTCTCCCCTTATCTGTCCTACCCTTTCTGTCTCTCTCTCTTTCTCTCTTTCCTCCCACTTTTCTCTCCAAAGCCCCCTTCTCTCCCTTTTTACCCTCTCACTTATGTTGTGTTAAAAAAAAAAGAAAAAAAGAGAGAGCAGGGTTCCTCTGCCTCAGTGTGAACCACACTCTGCTCTTTCCTCTCTCTCAGTGAAGAACTTTTTTCCCTCTGCCGATTCTCTCTCTCTCTCTCTCTCTCTTTCTCTCCCTTGCTTTAACTCTCTCTCTCTCTCGGTCCCTCTTCTCGCCTCCTTCTATATCTCCTCCCTCTTTTTGCTGTGTTGCTGTCCCCCTTGCTCCCCCCTCCCTCTCTTTTTCTCACTCCAATCTTATTTTACTTGTTTTTTTTTTTAAAAAAAAAACATAAAAAAAAGACATAAAATCCAAGTCTAAGCCATGACGTTTTGAGGTATAATTATACACATTGATAAAAGCAAACGTGAGGATGAAATGTGTTTAATTTGAAATAGATTCATTTCCATTTTCCATTTTTTTTAATGTTAAAATTGAAAAGAGGAAAAAAAAATATTTTGGTTGTATTTATCTATAATGAAATGTCCAATCTTTTATTTCTCTTGTTTCTTCAACAATCATAAATTTTTTTTTTTTTTTAATTTTTTTATTGCAAAAATCCCACAGTTTTTTTTTTTGGGGACAGATATGGACTGCAGGCCGGACACTCAACTCAACTCATGACTATGAGGCTATATTTCTGTAGTGACATTCATGTAAATTTTCCACCTGAAAAAATTCATGAACTGAAAAATACATCATTTAAAAAAAATGCAAAATACTTTTATTTTTTAAATTAGAAAAAAAACGGAGGCTTCTATGGTACAAACACACACAAGATTTTGTCAATATTTTCCAATAATTGAAATACAACGGAACCTCGAGACACGGGCGTCTCGACATACGAGTATTTCGAGATACTAGCAAGAAGCGGCTGAGTACATTTTTGCTTCGAGATACGAGGAAAGATTTGATGTACGAGCACGCTAGGTGGCCGAGCAACGGAGCAGCCCACGCTGCCTAGCATTATCTACGCGATTTTCTCTCTATCTTGTTGTATTTAAATACAACAAAATAAGTAAAAACCAAATCAGATGTTTTAGAAAAGACAGGCGATTAGAGCTCAGGTATCACTTTTATTGTCGATTTCCCATCTTCTCCTAAATTTTCCTGGGTCCAATTGTAGTGTCGCTGTAGTTTTTTCCCCCAAAAAAGGACAACCTTTCTACTCTGTCTATTGATTGCATTATGATTGGGGGGAAGTGGATTTAACCAATTAATTGTGATAATTTTTTTTTTTTTGTTGCTATCAACAGCTTGACTCGTACCGTATTTTCCGGACTATAAGTCGCACAGGCCCAAAAATTGCATAATAAATAATAAAGCCCTCTAGTGGCTGTCAGTGTGAAAATAACAAACATGCAAATTTTTCAGTGGCACAGGAGTAGCAGATACTGGTACATCAGCCTAGAGTGCCCTCTAGTGGCTGTCAGTTTGAAAACAAACAGACATTTCCGTTATCCTTCTTATATTTTAATATATAAGTCGCGCCTGCCAAAGGATGAAAAAAAGTGCGACTTATATACTGGAAAATACGGTAATATCCAATATATATATATATATATATATGCTTGAGTCAAGATGTAGATAAATACCCAGAATTTTTTTTTTTTATTTCTGTTTTCATCTGGCATAAATGTGTATGTCCAGAGCTGATCCCACCCCTTCCCCAAATCATCCTACATTATTATTACATTTGCTTCCAGTTGTGATTTAACATTTTGAAGCTCAACGTTATCGGTACGCTGCTGCTGCTGCTTTTTTTTTTAAATTGTTTTCAAAGTAATGAACTGACCCGGAGGCAGAAAATACAGACGCAGTTGTTAGTTAAAAAACACTTTTCAGCAATTAGTGATGATAGAGGACGTTAACATCACTCTGGACAATCTACAGGATTCACAATAAATTCTGTAACAATGACAAAAGAAAACAAATCCTTAAAAAAAAAAATCCCTAAAAATACGGATCGTGTTTTCCACCAATTCAGACGGTCCTCGACTTACGCCTGAGTTCCCGTTTCCCACTGTGCGATGCAATTTCAAAGTCGGAACCCATACTGTTCAAAAGTAGCTAAGTCACTCACCTACGCTAACACAGTGACATCATAATCTAGGACATTAAAAACATCAGGACAAGAACCTGACGTATGACGAAAGCGAACGTGGCACAATCCGACGTATGGCGTACAAACAGCGAACGTGACGACGTGCTAATGCACGCCGATCGGCAATCTGTTCCGTGTGAACTAGTTGTCGAGTTTTAAACGCTGTACCTCAGAATGACGGAAAACAAGACTTTAGCTCGAGGACGTCGTCAACCGAGGATCCCCCCCTTGTATTACTTTTTGCTCTTAGCCTCCTAACCATTTGAGTGCGTAATATCTTTTACGTTTTTTTTTTTTTTTTTTTTTGCCGAGTTTGACGTTTTAAATTCTTTATCTGACCTTAACTCCAATAACAAACCAAAGCTATGACTTAACCGCGGACTTCTGTTTTTCCCCCACCGGGAGGATCAACGGTCGGAGTTTCTCCAGAGACTTCGGAGCACCGAGAAGTGATTTAATTTCACTGTTGTTCAACAGAATATAAATTGAATGACCGTCACATCTCGCGCTGTTCGCCGCCTCTCTCTCCTTCCACCCAGCTGTGTGTGTGTGTGTGTGCGTTGCGTGTTCATGTGTTCGGGTGCGTGGGAGAGTAAGGGTGATAGAGGTGCCCGTGTGTGGGTTGAGCAGTGCTCAAGCTCTCACTGCTGTGGTGTTAATAGGCCTGTCGTCCCCCCCCCCCCCCCCCTCCAGCAGGAAGCAGAGAGCTGTCATTTACATGGAGGTAATGGAGTGATGGAGGATGTGTGGGCGAACAATGATGAGGAGCGTGCATCTCTCTCTCTCTCTCTCTCTCTCTTTCTCACTCTATCTCCCTCTCTCTCTCTCTCCATCCATCCCTCTTACCCCTCTCCGTCTCTCTCTTCGCCTGTCCATCACTCTTCCTCTTGTTTAACTCGTCACTAATCTGTACCTTCTTTTTTACATTTAAAGAAAACAAAAAATGCTCTTTATATTCGTACATTCATTTACATGTTGATGGTCGATGGGTCTGGAACAAAAAAGATGAAGGTCGACTAATTTGTCCTTCACGGGGGATTCTCGACTCACGTCAGAATTCCGTACCCACGGCGAGACGCAATTCGATTTTCCCATCGCACATACCGCACCTACGGCTACGCTAACACAGTGGTAACATGATAATCTAGGACCTAAAAACGTCAGAAAACCATATCCGATGTATGGCGTACAACTGGCGAAACTAAACAAAGTCGGGTGTAGCGTTGCGGTACGATTTATTCGTATGATCCGATTGCCAACGTCATACATCAGAATAATGAAACAAGATTTTCTTAATGAAACTACGGGAGATGGTGCCAAAACTGACAAGGACATCGTAAAAAAAAAAAAATCAGTAAAACCATATCTAATGTATGGCGTACAACAGGCGAAACTAAACAAAGCCGTCATCCGGGTATAGCGTGATGGAACAAGATTTTTTGAAATAATCGTGTTTGAGATGGTGACGTAACCGCGGAACGCTGTACGTCAAAGATGTCGTAAACCAGGGAGCCCCGTATAATCACTGCTGCGACAATACGATCAAGTACAAGTCTTTAGATTTGGCCTCCGATTTAACATAAACAAGGTTTTTGATCCCAAGATCCTTCTTGGTCTTCGGACTCTCTCCGGAGTCTACGTAGAAGATCGTCTGTCTTTTTAGCCTCCGTTGATATTTCAACGAATCTTTCCGACAACAACTTTCCGACATAAACGAACATGTTCTGAACTCTTCTTCCTTTCACGCTGACAGTTGGCTCCAGAACAAATTACCTCGGTCCCTCACCTCAACACTTTACCGTAAATCGTAATCAGATTTTCTGACATTCCGAAATCCATCTATCTTCGTCCGCTTATCCGTTACCAGGTCACGGGGGCAGCAGTCTCTATGACCGCCACCCAAATCGCACTGCACCGTACCAACCCCCCCAAACCTTCCTGGGTTCCTGGGTGGTGAGTCCACTGCAAGGTACCAACCGCCCTAACCGGGGGATTCGAACTTGCCCAGGAGGTGAACCCTGGGGTTCCACACCAATGATAGAGATGTTCCCTCTGGGCCAAAGCGCCACTCAATCCACCACACATTCTCCAACCCCCCCTAAACCTTCCTGTAGGTTCCTACATAAATCCTACAAAAAATTCCAAAATCTCAGAGAACCCTTTTGTCCGAGAAACGTTGTTTGGACAATGTAGCGTTTTTACTAAAGTGATCGATTTGGTCAGGATTCAAATTGGAATTGAACAAATATCAGCGTGTCATCTGTTATCCAATCAAACAATTCTCTATCAAATATTGGGACCTTTCCTTTTACCAGTCGCCTGGTTGGCCAAGTGTTTTTAGTAACTGAATTTAAATGTGGTCCAAACACATGGGAAGACAAATTCGCTCTGTGGGAGAGTTAGGACAAGAGACGGCAGCCGTCCAGACAAGCTGCTGCACCAAAAAGTCGATCTCGATTTCTAGTAGTGAATACAGCATACAGCAAAAAAAAATTAAATTATAATATTATAATTAAAGTTCAATGTTAAAAAAATCTATCTGTACACCCGTCCAATGAATCGAGCTCCAACCATTCATTTGTGTTTTTGTTTTTTCAAGCAAACATCTAACTCAGTCATTTCATGCTTTAATTTTTCATCCAGTTAAATCAGATCTCAGGTCAGGTGTTTGTAATGAAGGGCCACAGTAGAGTTTAGGAAGATCACCTCACACTCATTTCTGCTTCACTTTAATGTCACTGACAAAGAAGAAACCAAGACCAAACCAAAAAAAAAAAAACGCGCTGTTGACTCACTTTGAACCTTTTCAAAAAATATAGAAAATTTCCAGATTGGCCTCATTTGAAGAACACGAAGTCCACGAGAGGGAAATATCAACTCCTCTCCCAGTGACACGACTGCATTTAGGCAGAAACACAACAGAAATTGAACAACATCCACCATCAAACCTGGCTATTACAACCGCTATGTGTATAATTTGTGAGATTAAATTGTATATTTTCGTTAATAATTAAAAAAAAAAC